AGTTTAACTCTGAAAAATAACACAATCGAGCTTTTGGCAGAAAATATACAGCATCTTCATGACCTTATAGTGTATAAGGATTTCTTAACTAGGACCCGAATTCTCAATTGTAATTGGAAAAAATGATAAATTTCTATATTAAAATTAAGAACTTCCATTCATCAAAAAGACACCATCAAGAGTGTAAAAGGTGCAACTCACAGAATAGAAAATAACATTTGCAATGTATATCTGACAAAGAACTCATTTCCATAATATATAAAGAATTTCTACAAATCAATAAGAAAAACACAACTCAAAATGAAAGTGGGCAAAAATGTAAACAAGCACTTTATAAAATAGGATATACAACTGTCCGATACACATCAAAAAGGTAGCAAATCTCATTAGTCATCAGGGAAATGCACATTAAAAATACAAGGAGATACCACTACACACCCAGCAGAATGGCTAACATGAAAGGCAGACGCTACCAATTGTCGGGTAGGATGTGGAGAGACCGGAACCTTCGTCTGTGCTGCTGGCGAGAGCATGTATGTAGAACCACGTTTAAAAAGTTTCTGGCAGTGTCTGCTCAGGCAGAGCACAGGCGTATCTTGTGACCCAGCAGTGTCACCCTAAGAGCACACATGACAGAAATGCACGCACACACACACACACACACACACACACACACACACACACACACACGTTCACCAAAAGACATGCGAGAATATTCACAGCTCCAAACCGGAAGCTGCCGGAATGTCCGTCCACTTGTGGTAGAACGGATGAGTAAGTCGTAGCATGTGCACGATGGGCGGTGAAATGAGAACGAGAAAACCACAGCCACACGCAACAGCTGGACACGCTCACGCAGGCCGTGCTGAACGACAGCAGACAGCACAGGAGAGCACATGTACATAGAACCCCCAAACAGGCAAAACTAACCTGTCACTGTAGAGTCAGGACGGTGGTTTCTCTTTGCAGGGTTTTGACTGGAAGGGGCTCCAGGGAGGCTGCCGGGTGCTAGAATGTTCTAGAATGTTCCACGTTTTTGTTTCCTTGTTTCTTTTCTTCTGCTCTACGTGCTGATGACATAGAGACTCCCATTTGTGAAAAACCATCAAGCTGGACATTTATCATTTGTGCACAAAACTGAATACTTATGATTTATGCTTAAAATAAAATCTCACTGCAAGATATTTTATATTTTCCAGTTTATTTTCGATTATATTTGGAGAGGCAAATTTCACAGGATAGCTTCAAACCGTCGTACATTAACCAAATTTTACACAAGCCATTTGAAAAAAAGGTCTAAAAATGTGCTTAGTTATCGGTTTATATAACATTTATCAAGCACCAAGGCTGTGCTGTGAGCTGTACAGCAAACATAGGAAGACACAGTCCTTGCCTCGGAAAACACCCGTTCCTCCAGGGTCTGGCACGTAAGGCCTCACCTTGCAGTCCACGCTCTTTTATTCATAAGGCATAAATAAGGAGTTTTGTTGCATTTCTCATTGTTAATAAATACCTAATACCCTTTCCCCCAATTATATCAATTACACATATCTTTGCCCTTAAATACAAATCCCCCTAGCACAGGATGCAGTATATATTGATCTGGTATTCACACAATTGACAATGCTATTGCAGGTTGGTTATATTAATAATATGAAGCGTGTTGAATTTCAACATTCACAAATTTTTATACCACTTAATGGAACCATTTGTTGTTGGCAGAGCTTTTTCTGTTTTTTTTTAAAAAACAAACAACAACAAACAGGGTGCCACTGCTGCTGCCTTAATAAATTGTAAACAAAACCAGCGCTGCCTTGATTCCAGAGAGGGCACCGGGACCACGGCACAGACACCCGGACAGTGGTTTCAGCACATCTATGAACTAGGCTTGCAGGGATCAGTCGCACAGACGCACGCCCTAAAATGCTAACGGTTTGTGGTCAGCTAGTAACACACGAGCTGAGTACGATTTACTGTGTTTGCGGGTGGAAGGAGGGAATACCGGTGTAAAATGTCTGAAAACTGCGGGCTGGGAATTTTTTTTTTTTTTTTGCTTTTCTGCAAGGCTGTATTCAAAACAAATTCAGATTAGAAAAGAAGATGACGTGATTCTGAATTTAGTGATTGGCTAGGGACATTTTATTCTAAAATAATCCCTTAAATAATAACGTCTGATTGTTTACTTTTAAAATGCAGGAAAAGCAGAGGGAATTCTGACAGTGCGGTGACTTCAGACTCGGGCACAAGGAACCGTACTTTATGTAAATGTCAGGGCGCCGTGGGAGACGCACCAGACAGAAGCGGGCGAATCCACGGGTGGCAGCTCGTCGCAGCGGGGAGGGGAGGCAAGTTCTGGAGGGAGGGACAGGTGTTTCCCTCCCAGCCAGACTCCGCCCCGCTCCTTCCGCAGACCGAGGGAGGTGCTGGCTGAGTCTGGGGTCTCAGGAAAGGCTGGAGCGAGCTTGGGGCGACGGCAAGACAGGGTCCGAACTTCACCTTCTGTAGATCCCGAGACACCAGGCATCCGCCAGCGTCCCGCGTCACGAAGACCCACGACCTCAACGCCAGACGTGGCACTGTCAGGAGGAGGACGGCCCCTTCCAGGGAAAACCCCTCCACTTTTGGCCTTCACTGCCCAGGGCCCCGGGGTACTGCCAGGTCTGGATGTTTCCATAACGTGACGACGATGTTGAGTGTGAAAGCTACGCTGGGCTTAGGGCAAGACTGAATTTCTCTGACTACCTCTCCAGGTGTGGAAAGGGTCGAAGAGAATTCCAGAGTCCTTTCACCTCCACGTGTGTGGCGGGGCCGACAGTCGTGCCCCAGGTGGCCAGGCACG